ATTACCGAAAACCAATTTTTCTGATAGAAGTTTTCACTGAATGTTTTTTTCCCGATCAAACCAATTTCCTGACAACCTGATTTCTTGACATGACATATGATAGAAGGCTTTTTTCACAGGCAAGGACTTTTTCCCGAAATCTTGTTTTTCCGGTAGGAAGTGTTACTGACAGCTTTTTCTTTGACAATAAGATTATGGTATATTTCCCCGACAGGATATCTTTCAGACGATTTCCCAAAAGCTATTTCCCTGACACGTCACTTACCCGGTGACAATTTGCTAAAAATATATATCTACAACTAACAAAATGCTAACCCCAACCCTATGTGATGTCGGGTAAATAGTTTTTTGGGAAGGTGGGTTTCGGGAAAGTGAGAATCAACGCGTTGTAAGTAGAGATGTGCCATGTACAGTACTATACATACTGTATGTTGTGACTGTGAAAATGGTACCAAGATGAAATTATTGAAATCGAATCATACTAATTACAAACTAACACTACTAATACTACTCTTTAATAGTGGTAAGGCTACGATCGAGGCGTGGAAAGATTTGGTCCAAGTAACTAGGGTCATTAGAGCTCCAGACTACGTCACGGGTTCCTTAATGTGAAGTTATGGAATTTATTCACTAATTCCTATCGTTAATACAGATTTTACTTATCGAGGGAGAATGACAGATATTGAAATCCAAGGAAGGATTATATCTATAACATTGACGATAGAGTGATTTAATATTATAAAACTGAATTACATACCAGGCAAGAGATTAATTGTATAACATTAATGTTTTTTCTGTTAGTTATTATTAGAATAATATCGAAGAAAAAGCAAATTTTTAAGTGTTCAGAATTTATAAAAACAGATATAAATTCTGTAAAACATCTTTCAGTAAAGAGCTTTCAGTAAAATATTTTCGAAGAAATGGAATATCAGAAAAGTGTACCATTCAGAAAAATGACTTTTCAGTAAAATGGGATTACTTTTACTTAGTATTCGAAAAAATGGTAGTTACAAATAAATGACTTATCAGAAATATATACTATCGATTAAACAAAATCTCAGTAAAATGAGATATCAAAATTATGACCTGTTAGTAAAATGAATTGTCAGTATTATAACTTCAGTAAAATAGTGTTTCAGTAAAATTGATTTCGGGAAGTTGAACCAGAACCATGTTAAGCACGTAAATTTGCATAAATTATTACAGGGTTATATGCAATTATTACAATCATTATAAATATATACCGAATTAATTTATATATATTTTGAATGTACATTATTTATTTCTCGATATAAATTAATAATTCTTGAAAAAATTAGCATTATTTTTTCGTATATTTCGCATAATTTTCTTATTGATCACAGTTATTTAACTTCATTCGGCATTAAATTTTATCCGATTGTGTTTTATTAATTTACAATGCAAATTAACAAACTTAATTTTTAAAAAAAAACAAACCAAATTAAATTATACTTGCCTTGAGAGATAGATACAAAGAATTAACTTTCTCAGGATCTAATTTCATGCCTTCATATTTCGGATCAAGATTATAAATACATATAGTAATTGCTAAAACTTTTGTCATCTTCAGTAGGTTGTCTTTTATCCAAACTTTTGATATAATTGAGTCCATATAGGTTTGAGACGATATAGTACTAATTGGAGTGTTTAGTTTGCATAGACATCATTTCGTATTTTGAGATTCTTTAAAAGTTTTAATTGTATCAGCAAAAGCTGATAAATCGATTTTATTGAGCTTGTCTTGAAATACTTCAAATAATGTATCTTTGATTTTCTTGACAATAGTTTCACGATGCTTGCATAATTTGTCTTTAGCCTAATAAACAATAAGATTGTACATATATATTTAGTTTTTAGTACAGGTTAAAATGCACTTTAGATTAATTTTTTTTTGTCAGATATGCTTTATATATAGATTTTTACAACCATATAAATAGATTTTTTACCTGATTAGCAGGTTTTCTATTTGTAGACAAATTCTCATAAATTTTAGAATAGCTTTTAGATTCTTTTATAATCTGATCATTTTCTTTGTATATTTATTTTTATTTATTTTTTTAGTTTTTTATTTATACTCTTTTTTTACTTCTCTATAAGAAAGTGTTATCAGATTGGCAATACTCTATTGTAGAGCAGTAATTTTGACAAGATTAGTAAGAACTATCTATAATATCTGTAGCTCATATCCTCAGAAAATTAAGAATTCTAGAAGAAGAAAATATTTACTTAGGGGAGTTACTTCTGAGCAAAGCTCTAGTATTAAATCTTAATTTATCATAATTTAACTACAATAATAAGATAGATCAAGATTTGATAAATAAAAATAGTTAATAGTTAAATAGTAGATTTAACCAACTAAATTTTTACTATAAATTGTTACTGATTTAAAAAATAAATTTTGGATTACTGAAATAAAAATAAAAAAATTTATATATTTGTAGTTAAAGATTACAGTAGTTATAACTAAAATAACCTTTTTTGTACATTAAAGTTAGGTGAGATAAAGATAGTATGTGGGTAAAAAGATGTATTTTATAGTAAAATTTAGCAAGAAATTTTTTTTGTTAGAACTCAAAGAGTAATTTTATATACTTAATTTTGAGTATAACCAATTTTTGATAATTTTAACAAAATGAATATTTGTTTTAAATTTTTTTGATTGTGTTATATTACACATGATCTTTAAATTTGATTGGCTTTTATAGGATGTAGCTATGATAGCTATAGTTACAAATATATTACTTCAAAATAAAAAATACAGTAGTTAAGAAAATAAATTAAGAAAAAATTTTATAACTTTAATATTAAAGTTTTAAATAATTAAATAATAATTTTTTTAAAATAATTAATTAAAAAATAAAATTAAATAAATTAAAATAAATTATAATATTTTAATATTATTTTAAGAATTTAACTAATTGGACACCTAGTATTTGAAATATAGGTTTTGTATAACATGTAAATCAAATTAATTTTTATCAAAATAAACAAATAAATAAAATAAAATTTAGCTAAAATTAGGTTAGTATTGGGAACTAATATTGGGGCAAGTTATAGCTTATACTAAAATTTTGCAAGAAATTTTTTTTCTTAAAGCCCCAAGAATAGTTTCATATACAAAATTTTGAGATATCATTGATTTTTGTTTTTTGCTTTATTTTTATTGCACAAAAAAAT